ATGGGCGAGGATCCGAAGCAGATCCCGAACAACCTGATGCCGTATGTGTCGCAGGTGGCCGTGGGCAAGCTGAAGGAGGTGCATGTGTTTGGCACCGACTACAACACGCGCGACGGCACGGGCGTGCGCGACTACATCCACGTGATGGACCTCGCCGAGGCCCACGTTGCAGCACTCAAGCGCCTGCCGGATAACCACGGCTACGAGGTGTTCAATCTAGGCTCAGGCACCGGCCAGTCTGTGCTCGAGATGATCGACGCCATGTCGGTTGCGTGTGGACACAAGATCCCGTACGTCAACGACCCGCGCCGTCCTGGCGATGTCGCCACGGTTATCTGCAACCCGGACAAGGCTGCCGGCGAGCTGGCTTCAAGGTCAGCCGCGACCTCAAGTCGATGTGCGAGGACCTGTGGCGCTGGCAGGAAAACAACCCGAACGGCTTCACCCAGGAGTAAAAAGCCTTCAGCATGTCAGTACATAAATGTGTTTCAGCCCATTATCAGCGCGATTTCTGGACCGTGCATGAATCCAGGCATTGGCGGCCCGCCGAATGATGGTCCGCCACGAACTCTCCTTTGTTGTTTTATAGCCAGCGCATGGACGCCTTTACACAGATCTCACGCAACCTTGACCTGAGCCAGCTCCTGCTGGTGCATACTGGCCTTGCGCTCGTCAGCGCCCTGGGCACCGCACCCACCTACAATCTGCCTGTGGCCCTGTTCGGTCTATTGGTTCTGCGTGGCGAATTCGACGGTGTGCAAATGAAGCGGCTTGCTGTCATCCTAGCTGCTACAGGGGTCCTCGACGTGCTGTGGGATTCTGGCGAGGGGTTCGCCTCAACTTTACGCTGCTATTCGTACTGGCCAAATCTGCTGGTTAAGCCCCTGTCGGTTTGCCTGTGCCGTGGCAGTCGCTGCAGAACAGCGGGGCGGGGATCCCGGGCCTGTCGTTCCGGAGCGACGCCTATGAGGCCATGGGCGGCGAGGATGAAGACCATCCAGATGCCGCCGTCATCAGCATGCCCCGTGCGCTGAACAGCCCATAGAGTTCTTGGTCATATGTTTCTCTCTCCATTATAATATGCCTTTAGCAGGAGCGAGATCCAGGAAAAATGTGTGCGCCAGTGACATTCTGGAGCACGGTGCTTGAGGCACATTAACGCGTGGAAAGCGCCTCTCCAATTTTACGCTTTCTCTTGTTGTCCCGCCCTTCGAGCACTTATTTTTATCCCTTCTTTTCTTTCGCATTCACAAAATTCTCCTGGATGGTCACTAGTTGCGCGGTCAATTTAACACAGACGGGTACAAGGCTATGAACGACTCTATTACATTCTTCATTGCGCTGGCATAATCTTTGTAGTCCTCCGCTGGCTTGCTTGGTAAGTGCGCCCTGGAGGGAAATGACAGCAATCGGTGCCCGTGTAGCTAACTGTGTACTGCTACCGTGTAGGCCAGGGTGGTAACGACCAGGGACACGGCGGCGCAGCAGGGCGAGAGCACCGGCGACTGGCACATCGTACGACCGGAGCACGTACAGACAATCCAGGCCATGTTCCCCGATATCCCCGAAGCTTGCCATCCGTCTGGACCTGTCTCGGACGGGCTCACCGGTAATCACCAGTGACAACATTCTGCGCAACGGCGGAACGCTGCCTATGCCGCCCGAGGCGCGACAACCGCAAGCGAGGCCGGTGATGATTGGTGAGACTACAGTGACTCTAAACTCGGGCACCGGCCAGCGACGGACAGCGGAATCGGGTGGCACATCGTCGGGCGTCCAGCTTAATGCGGCTCAGTCGCCGTTGGTCAGCCGGTTGAGGATCTCAAAGGACGCGGATGCAGAGCCCCTGCCGCCCCAGCCACCGAAGGTATGGGAAACAGATGCGGGCAAGCGCGCCGAGGTGCTGATGAAGCGCAAAGGAGTTTTATGCTGATGGAGGCCCGCAAAAAGTTCCTCGACAAGAAAAAGCAGAGCAAAGCGGCCGAGAAGGCACCAGCTGCGACAGCCTCGACGACTGCCGAGTAGAGCACCTTTGCAATTTTTGCAGTAAAAAACACAAATTTGTCGCTGTGGATTAGGGTGCCGCTATAGACAATTCATCCTCCGCACTGGCACAGCGAACTCCCTCGCTCTTCTCTCCAGTTTCCTTCAGCCGATTTGAATTTTGTCTTTATATAAATCTCCCAAATGGTTTCAAAGCTTGCTGCCGACTGCCTCTTCTGCAAGATCATCAAGGGTGAGATCCGTCTGTGAAGCTCGCTGAGACCGCGCACAGCTTCTCGTTCCTCGACATCGGACCGGCTCTCCGAGGGCATGCCCTGGTCATCCCCAAGTACCATGCTGAAAAGATGCACGAGCTGCCCGACGAGTTCTTGGCCGACGCTATGCCTGTCGCCAAGAAGATTGCTACGGCCCTGGGTGCGGAGAACTACAACATCCTGCAGAACAACGGCCGCCTGGCTCACCAGGAAGTCATGCATGTCCACTTCCACGTTATTCCCAAGCCCAATGCCGAAGAGGGCCTGGGTGTCGGCTGGCCTACCAAGCCGGCCAACATGGACAACATCAAGGCTCTGGGCGAGAAGCTGAAGGAGAAGCTCTAAGTTGCTTGTAGTTGGTTATGTTGTTAACTAATGGATGCACTTCTGAATATGACTGGTCACTATGCGCGGTCGGCCGTGGGCCAAGAACGGCACATGCAAGAATAGCCTGGAGCTGCTGGCCGATGAAGGTAGAGGCCGGCCATATATTATTGTATTCGGCTGCTTGAGCCTTTCTAGCGGGTACTTGGTCAAGGCTGTCGGCGCCTTTTCCCGCCGATAGTCGTCTGAATCCCGGTGATGCCCACTAGCTCGTTGATGACGGTGATGGTGATGGTGATGGTGGTGATGATGCCGTCGATCACGGTCGCCTCTGTGCCTTCTGGGCCTGGACCGCGAGCGTGAATGTGAGTGATTACTGGGCCGGTCTGTACGTGGCGACCTTGAATGGCGTCTGCGTGAGTGCATATGGCTAGATTTCTCGCGTCTTGACAATCTGTCATGGGCATCTAGCTGCTCATACAGACTGTCAACGAAGTCAAGTAGAGCAGCATCAGCGGGATCTGGCAGCATGAACAACAGCAGCAAGTTTGTCTGCGTCTTGGCGGGCCTTCAACATATGATTTGGTACGGATCAGTCTACATATAGGAGGAGTAGGTTAGGCTTAGTGCATATAGTGCCAAATGTCTATTTCGGCAGTGCCGCTCGAGGGTATACTCACAGCATGGCCCGCATTTTGAGCGCTGCTATGCACTCTGGGTCGACAAGGAGCGCATGGTCGAGCTTTTGCATAACCTGGTCATTACTGCATTCGTCAATGCTATCTGGTAGGCTCTTCACTCTACAGCGGGCTATATAGTTAGTAAGGACATCCTCTGCTCAGTTACATGGTTGTATATATCTGGCAATCACATACATGGTATCTGCCCAGCCTCTGTTTTGCAGTTTCTGCAAATGCCGGTATGAGCAAATGTCGCCATTCCTATCACACAGTTCCTTGGGGACTTTTGCAGACGATGAGCTGCAGAACCCGGGAATCTCCAACAGCTCTTCAGCCGCAGACAACAGGTCCGGGCAGCTAATTAGTGAATCCCCTTCGTCTTTACGGTGGGACCAGTACGACCGCCACGCGCTCGACTGAAACCGTGGCATTGGGAAGGCTGGGTCGCTCTGGGCTTGACCATTGGGCGTCATGGACATGTTATTGATGGACATGTGCGTGGTATGTCCATGGACGGGGGCGGTGGTTAGCGAGCGTGCTCATCAGTGAGAGCGGGAAAAGGGGTGAATAGGCGAAGCAAACGCTGTGGCGATGCGGGTGCCATGTCTTCGCTGTTCATCAGCTGAACCAGCCGGCATGGGGCTTCTATGGGTGTCGATCGAACCGAGCCGACTGGTAGGGGTTCAAGCCTGCAAAATCAATCGACGAATGTCAAAAGCATAGCCGACGTTTTTTTCTTCGGCTTCTCTGCTTCGCAACTGCTCTTGCTCCCCCCCTTTTTGCTTACATTTGTCCCGTCCTCTAGAACTGTAAATTATACCCCGAACTTTGTAATGAGCCCGTACCAACCACCACCACTAGGTAAAATCTGCCCAAAGCCATGCAGCGCAACACACCTAGAAAGAACAGACCACTAACGACATTTGCATACTATAGACAGCTATGGCGACGTACCACCCATGCAGTACATGAACACCGAGCCACGGCGACCCTCCGGCGGCTTTGCGCCGCGTGGCCCGCGACCAGCGCCACCAGACATGTTTGGCGGACCGATAGTGAACACGTTCGGGCCGGGCGAAGGTCTAGATGCACCAGGCGCCGACGCACAGCTAGATCGACGCAGCTCACTCAGCGACCGTCCCGTGACAGTATTCGTCGGCAACATCACGGGCGGCGTCACTGATGAGTGGGTCGAAAAGGTACTGGGGGCGTGTGGGACTGTCACGAGCTGGAAACGCGTGTATGACGCTGACGGCAAGCCGCAAAAATTCGGGTTCTGCGAATTCGCCACGCCGAGGGATGCTATGTGTGCACTGCTGGTGCTTGGCGAGGAAAAGTGCGAGCTGCCGGGAACCGAGCCCCGGAAGCTAGCAGTCATTGTCGATGCGAACATGCGGAGGACATTGGACATGCACCGCGATCGGCTTGTTTCGATTGAGGCCGGCAGCGACAGTGATCAAAAGACTGCAGTACACGCAGCGAAAGAGGCGGTGGAGAGGATCAAAGAGGAGATGAAGGACCAAGCACCGGCTGAGGCTGGTGAAGGCACGGAAGAGATTAAAGGCAAGCAACCGACAGGCCAGTCCACTCTTGAGCGGGCATCCAGTTCATCTGACAGAAAGACACGGTCGAAATCAGCCACCCGCAGTGGTGTCGCGCGCTCGTCCCACTGACCACGAGTCGATCAGCCTTGAGGACGAAGAGGCTTGGGAGAAGCAGCAAGCAGAGGCGCACAGGAAACGGCTGTACCTGGACGATGTTGCTGAGCGTGAGAACCGGTTGGCTCGTGACGAAGCAGACCGTGCAAGGCACATTGAGAAGCTGCTGCTGCGCGATCTGGACCGCATCGAGGAGCGCGGAAGGGCGCGTGACACTATGATGATGCGGTTTGCGGCCTGGGACGACGACGCAGAGGCGCGCATGGGCGATCACGAGTACTACAGGGATCGCGAGCGCTGGTGGCATCACCGCAAAGCAGTGAGGGAGCGCGAGATCGAGTTGGATGTGGCAGATAGGAGACAGCAGAGACACGAAGAAGAGAGGCTGGCCGAGGAGGCGCGAAAGAAGCAGCAGCAGGGACAGCAGCAAACCCCTAGGCACTCGTCGAAGGCACCTGAGGAGAGGAACAAAGCTCCTGCTGAGAAGCCTGCCCTGGAGCCTATTGAAAAGCCTGCCGAAAAGCCTGCCGAAAAGCCTGCCGAAAAGCTTGCTGAAAGACCTGCTGAGAAGCCCGATCCGCGGCGCACCAAGATTGAGCAACTGATTGCTGAGATACCCTCAGAGCCTGACGCGCTGTTCGCATGGCCCATCAAGTGGGACCATGTCGATGAAGAGCTGGTGCATGGGAAGATCGAGCCGGCCACACGCAAGCGGTTGGTCGAGTACCTGGGCGAGGATGAGGAGGACTCCTCGCTAGACGAGCTCTCGAAATTCGTTGCTGACCATATGCTGGCACACAAGCCGCCGCATGGCTTGGTTGAGGAGCTGGCAGCTATCCTGGACGATGAGGCATCGACGTTTGTTGCGCGCATCTGGCGCGTTGTTGTCTATGAGTCGGAGGCACATGCAAGAGACATAAACTAGAATCAGCCGTATATTGAACTTTTAAAAATGAATTGCTGCCATTCTGCCAAGCCAATGCTTACAAGAATTTTGAACAGTTGAGGCAGTTGGCTGCACAGATTCGGTACTTGAAGGCCTGCTGCGGCGACGCGGTCTCCAGCTGCGCATATTCCTTCTTCAGGTTCTCAAGCCGAGATGGGTCAACCACATAGTGCGACGCAACGCGCTCGGCGAACTGGTACACAAAATACACTGCGCTTTCCTTGTTCTGGATCGGCACACGACCGGCATCGGCGGTCGCATAGCCTGCACTTGCGCGGTGAGCCAGCATCGTGTTGCTGTATTCTGCTGCCAGAACACCCTCAAACTCGGTCAGCAGCACAATGGCCTGCTCGTGTGCGGTATGGCGGACCTGGCCCACCGCATCCAGCAGATTCAGCAGAGGGATGTCAATACTATCAATATTCTTCTGCTGAGTCTGCTGGTCAAGGCAGTTTGCAATCGTGTTCAGCAGCGTAGCCGACACACCCTTGTTGCTGCAGATTGACGACACAAGGCTTTGAATGAATGCGTCTATTTCAAACGCAGGTATCTCGTTTTCCACGGGAATGGCCGCCTGCGGTGGATTAGCCCCAGACGCGCGGCCCTCGCAGCTGCCTGCTTCGAGCGGGTCCTTGATCGTGCCTTCGGGCAGCCCCAGAAACTCGGGCAGCCCCTTGCCGATATAGGGTAGCCACACATTAAGCATGCCAAGATCACCAGCAGCCACGCGCTTCAGCAGGTACGCATACAGAACCTGGCGGGCCAGCTCGCTGGAATTCAGAACAATCACATCGTCTTGACTAGGCCGCAGCCCACTCTCCTCGGTAACTGCCACCACCGCAGTGCCGCTCCTGCCGCTATACGCACCCGCTGAATCGCGGCGCGCCCTCTTGACTCCACTGCCATAGGCATCGTCGTCGTGGACACCGACAGCACGGTCAAATTTGATCGATTCCTTGATGAACGATATCAGCGACGGGTAGAACTTGCCTCGAACATTGCGGTTAATGGCCGGGATCTTTGGCCTGTCCTGCACCAGCAGGCTTCCGGCCGAGAGCCCAATGGTCAGTATCAGGCTAGGCCATGTAAGGTCACGGTACTTTGAGCTGGCTTCAGAATTCGGTGCAATGTCCTCTAGAATGTTCAGCACGCACTGCGCCAGTATGTGCCGCGAGTACGGGCTGCTTAAAATGAGCGAAATTTCGCCATATGGTGGGTCAGTCGGGTCGAGGTTGTCAAAGTACCTCTGCAGCTCTAGCACGCGTCGCGGGTCCATCGTCTGCCGCATGATACACGCATCCAGCGACCACGCCAGCCCATGGCACACGTCACTCTCGATGATGACCGACACGTCAGAGTCGTGCATCACCATCGCCAGGTCCAGCCGCAGCGTGCCCAGAGCCGGATCCTGCGTCTTGATAAACAGCTCGCGGATCATTCCCAGCGTTGCATTGTACAGATGCAGGTCCGTGTTGATTGCATGCGAAATCTCGAGAAGCACCGGGTGCTGACGCCGTTTGCGCGAGTACTCCTGCACCTTGATTCCGTATATCTCTTGCGACATTGAGCGCAGCTGCGCGTCTGCGACATACTTTGCCAGCAGCGGCCGGATATGCTGCTGGAACAGTGGTAGGTCCTTGCGCCACAGCGTGCGCCTCACATCCAAGCTACACGCTTCGTACAGCTGCATGCTGCCACGGATTGCTTCACGGTAGTCATCAGGCACATTATCCGGCCACTTTGCCAGCAGCATCAGCGGGATTTTCTGCAGCTGTGGCACTGCAAAGTACCGCTTCACCTTGGCCAGCAATGCCAGGTGCTGGTCTAGTGGCAGTCGCTCGCCCTGTATGCGGCTCATTGCCGCACACACTACAGAGTCAAGTACTGCTGTGTGGATGTCGCGGCGCTTGTGGCCCAGTGAATCCAGCAAGCCGTAGATTGACTCGCTGGCTGGGATGTCCAGGCCGTTGTCGTTGCCAAAATCAAGTATCACCTGCTTGGGCTTGCCCAGGCTCATCATGCGCTTAATCTGCTCACGGCCCTCAGCGCCCACCAGATATGTTTTGTCGCCGCCTGTGTTTCCCATCGTGCTATAGTATGTATAAAAAAGGCTTTGGTTGCAAGAGCTGCAGAGACAAGAGGTGAGTCTGTTTATGGCTCGCACAGTGCGCCAGCTGGTGACCTCGCCACCCAGAGCGAAAAACAAGAGCGCCGATCACCGATCAAATCTTACAATCAAATGATTTAGCTCGGGATTGCCGAACTCCGCAAGTGCCAGCGGTGTCTCGATCACGTCACGTCGGGTGCACTTCAGTGCGAACGCACTCGTCCCCAAGCCCCGTCCATGGCTTGACTGCCGATCCCTCCACCTTCTCCGGGGATTGGATTCATGCTTATCAACGGAGTGGCGGCCAAGTGCCTCGTCCGCCGCTAGGAGCGGGATGCGCAACAATGCACAGGCAAAATATTCCTACATCCCAATTTCTACACATCTGCACCTGCGCAACTCCGTGTATATCCCTTCGTTCTCCTGCGCAGGCAGCCCGATATCCCCCTGCCACCACCTGATGCCAGGCACAGCCTGGCTCCAGCAGTTGGCTTCAGTAGCGACTGCTGTTGCCAGCAGCCCACTCGGACTCACGCGCCCTCGATCCCCCACCGCCTGCCTGCATCTCTGCCCCGTCGGATGTTGGGGAACAGAATTCCACTGGAATGAACCGTGTAGCCCTAGCCATTCGAATTGGGCCCTCGGAGGGAGCCTGTGGTTTCCATTTGCACCTCAGCCTGAGCTATGTGGATGATCACTGACGAGAAAGATATTTCGCCGCTAGTCAGCGACCCCGCACCACCCCCACCTTGGCCAAAGTTGGCCCATTCCGAGATGGGCCAGGAAATCCTGCTGGATACACAGGGGTTGCAGCTGGCCAATAGACTTTCCGGATGAGGCAACGTGGGGTCAGCATCTTAGTCGTGAGGATGCTTGGGTGCTGAAAATCGAACGCTTTAAAAGAACAACGGGCGCTTCGTGGCCTACCCGAGAGCACACGTTCGCCATTCCTCGCTTGCTACCGGTTCCCAAGTCTTCCCTCTCTTCTGTCGCTTCCAGCGTAGAGCTTTCTGTACTCCTTTATCTTCTTTCCTGGAACTCTCGAGGAGACCACCTGCTGTCCCGGTTCACAGCCTGCTTTGAAATCCGGATTACTGCAAGCGCATTGTACCTTCCATCTAATTTACCCGCATCTGTGGATAAAGACAGGCCCGATTGCTCCGAAATCCTGCCTACATATAGCACATTTCACCATGTCACATCTGTCAGAAATATCTGAGCAGAACAGCTCTGCCAACATAAAGGAGCTCAAATCCCATGATATTGACATTGAGCTGTACCAGCGGCAGCAGGAGCTGGAGGAAATTGACGATGAGCTGCACTCGCGCTGGCAGATGATCAAGTCGTTCCTTGTCTGTGGCGCCGCCTTTTTTGCCGACGCCTACCTCATGTTCTCAGCAAACATCCTGGTCATGATCATGGGCTACGTATACTTCCACGACGCCGAGGGCTCGGCCAAAAACGTGGTCCCCAACAACTGGTCGACGCTCGTCAAGGTCGGTGTCCAGGTCGGCTGCCTCCTTGGCCAGCTGATTTTGGGCCGCCTTGGTGACAAGTTTGGTCGCACCAGCGTGTTTTCGATGGGTGCCATCCTGGTTATCATCTCCACCGTCGGCGCGTCCTTCTCGTCAAGCGCGGTCCGCGGCGCTAACGCTTTCGTATTCCTGTTCATCTGGCTTGTGTTTGTCGGCATTGGTGTCGGTGGCGATTACCCGCTGGCCGCAACCATTACCAGCGAATATGCTGAGGTCTCTTCCCGCGGCAAGTACCTGGCCGCTGTGTTCGCCTGCCAGGGGTTCGGTAACCTGGGCGCCTCGATCGTCGCTATTATTGTCCTGGCATGCTTCAAGGGCGCTATCCGTGATGACGTCTACGCGCTGGACTACGTCTGGCGCATCTGCCTCGGCTTTGGTGCCATCCCCGGCGCCATCACCCTCTACTGGCGCCTGACTATGAACGAATCCAAGCAATTCCAGGCAGAGGCCGAGAAGCGCGAGGCCCAGACTGAAGCCATCAAGGCTGAGGACGAGCTGCTGCTGGCCAAGAAGGCTGCACAGGAGTCTGACATGACGCCGGCTGCCGGCTCTTCAACCGTGTCGATGCAGAAGGAGGCTATCAAGGACTTTAGCCAGTTCAACGAGCATATGGATGAGCTTGTCGAGAAGGCGCAGAAGAAGGGCAGCAAGCGTGCCGAGACCTTCAGCGAGTACTTCGGGCAGTGGAAGAACATGAAGGTTCTGCTCGGCACCTCGATTGCCTGGTTCGTGCTCGATGTGGCGTTCTATGGAATCAACCTGAACTCATCCGTCGTCATCAGCGCTATTGGCTTCTCCGGCGACGTGCAGAACGGCGATCCCTACAGCGTCCTGTCGCGCAACTGCCTTGGCAACATCATCATCAACCTGCTCGGCTCTGTGCCTGGCTACTGGATCACCGTGTTCACCATTGAGCGGCTTGGTCGCAAGAGGATCCAGCTCATCGGCTTCGCTGCCCTCACCGTGCTGTACGTTGTAATCGGCTTTGCCTACCACCAGATCCTGGATGCCTCGAACGTCGGCTTCATTGTGCTGTTCACGCTGGCCCAGCTGTTCCAGAACTTCGGCCCCAATGTCACTTGCTTTGTGTGGCCCGGAGAGGTCTTCCCGACTCGCTTCCGCTCCACTGCCCATGGCATCTCCTGCCGCCGCTGGTAAGCTTGGTGCTATTGTCGCCCAGGCTGGCCTGATGACTCTGAAGGACCGCGGTGGCCCGAATGCCTGGATTCCTCACCTCATCGAGATCTTCGCCCTCTTCACTCTCATCGGGTTCTTTGTGACCTTCTGGATCCCGGAGACCAAGGGAAAGTCGCTGGAGGAGATCACCGGCGAGGAGTAAGATACACACACGCTCTAATCTTTTACACTTTATATTACGCATTTCGTATTACATATTCAACCCCTGTATGCACAAAGCATATACGATGGCATGTATTCGGATACAATCTCGTTTCTCGGGATATCGAGGTGTCATGGCTCGTCAGGGCGCTTGCTGCCTGTCTCCGATCTGGGCTCTGCCGAGGTGGCTGGTGACATGGGAGCTGGCTCACCCGCATCTTCATGCTTGGACACTGTGTTCTCGTTGTCATCAGTCTTGATATAGGCATCGCTTGCAGCAGCCGGATCGGGATTAGCTGCTTCATCCTTGGAGGGCAAGCCCTTCTTGGTTTGCTCATCTAAACGCACATGCTGGCCCTTCGTGTCTTGGGCTGCTGCAGTCTCTGCTGGTTCCTTGTCCTGATCTGCTGCTGCCCCATCTAGTTTTTCGTCCTGATTGGCAAAGGTGTCGGCAGGCTCTTCGCCTAGGCTACTGTCCGCCTCCTTGCTGATTCCATCCACTGCTTGTGAGTTACTGTTCCCATCCGTAGCCGCTTTGGCGTCCTTGTTGCCCATATCTGGAGCATTGCCAGATATCACTTCCTCGTAGGCATCTTCTCCAGCCGGTTTCCCAGTCACTGGAACTGACGGTAGATCTAAATCGCTCAGCCCTCCCGACCCGCTGCTGTCCTCACTGGAGCTTGAGCGAATACTGACACTATCATCCGATCCCTCACTGCTCTTATCGCTGACACTGTCCAAAACATCACCAGCTTCTGCCTCTGTTTTCTGACGCGTCTTCAAGCGAGCTGCTTTGCAAAGGATCAAGAGCTGACGATTGGAGGTAGTCAGGAACGCCATGTTCATCCATCTTGGTCTGCTCGGTGGCCAGGAATTGACCCAGGAAGTCGTCGACTGAGGGGAGCTGCTCGGCATCGACATTGTCTGCGTAGACATCATCGGCCTGCGAAGAAACTTCGCTGGTTTCATGGCTGATCCGGTACGCATTGAGCGGCACCTGCACCTGCATCGACCCGATATCTGACTCGACATCCCGCTGGTCGTGGTCTCGAGCTGCCAGGTGTCTAGTAAAAGTAGTGGGCTCAGACAATACTGAAGGCGGCGCAACCAGTGGTGTGCACGACATTAGGCGTAGCCGAGCTTGACTGCAATACAGCCTCGCTCTCTGACGACTCGCTGCGCTCCAAGAATATCCCGGCCTCGGATGCCAAGGGCGTCTGGAATGCGCACGCTGGCCGAGCGTATCAGTCCAGTGGAAAAGAACGGCCGTGTCAGAATCCAGTGTTGCAGTGACGTATCCCGAACAGACAGCTGCGTTGCGCGTGCCGTCGACATGCTGGGCGTATGTGGTCTAGCTGGCTCCATAGAGCAGCCGGTGTCTATGAGCTCACTGAGCGTCACCGGCATATATGTCTGGTAAACATTATCGCCAGCCTCAACAGTGTATATTCCAGGCATGTATGTGTGCTGACGCGACCGGTGACGCAGGTCGTGTGGCGAATGCGATCCTGCTTTGGCACTGCTATGAATGCGACACCAGCCAAAAACCCGCTTTTCCTGGTCAAGCAGCTGTGCGCCTGGTGCTGATAGCAGGACTTGGGATCCGTCAGCTGACATAGTGTACATGCTGTAAAGACGGCGTAGGCTGCTGATGCTGCGTGGCATATATGGAATGGCAACAATCAGCGATTTCGCGGTCTGTGAGTGTATGTCCAACGGATTGCCTGTATACCGGGTCTTCAATTCTGCTGCCACCGCCTTCAACGTGCTATGGTACCGCGCCTTCGTCGATGGTATGGAGCCGCCCAGCCTCCTCGCCTGCCGACCCTGATGGACCTAGGGCAATGCAGCCGACAGAGGCGGACTGCATACCAGTCATACCGCACAAATCCTCGAGAAGCCCCACGGTTTGCTGGTCCACATGCCTCCATAGGCTTTGCAGCCGCCGGATCTCAGGCAGTGTCAGTGCCCAGAGTACCGCAATTCCGCCATTGAAATCGCCAAACACGCGCACAAGTATGTGTGTCAACACAACCAAGCAGGTTACAATATGTGGATGCCCCTTCAGGTTAGACAGCGACGACACTGCGTGCCTGTCCCGATGCTCACTCTCCATGCTACGTCTGGGTGCTGGTAGCTGGAGACCGGGCGCTAGGAGGTGCCAGGTTTGAAGCTTGCACCTTTAGCCTATCCGATGCTGCTGTGTCCAGTAGTATTCCAGCTGCAGCATGGCCAAGGAACACGGCGAACCCTGCACAGTTCCTCACTGAGCTCGCTACATCAACCTCAGCTCCACCCGACTGCGTCGCCCGGCTACGGACAACCATATCCTCGGGCACCTGGACATGGGCAAACAGCTGCGTGTCGATTCTAGGCGATCTCACGTGCGATCGCACAAACATCCCAGGCGGTCAAGCTAAGTGCCTCGACTGCTCGTAGGTGCTGCGACAGTTTGTCGAGGTCTTCGCGGCCAATCTGCTCTTCCTCCATTAACCGCCGCGCGTGTGCCTGTGTCAGCTCTTCCAATCTGCGCCTTGCGCTGCTGCATGGCCATGGTCGCAGCATAGGTGCGCATGATTACCAGCTTGGACAGGTCTGACAGCGGAATCGGCGGTAGGCGACCCGTGGGCTCAGCACTCCCGCTCTTTCTACCTGGATTATGATCGCTACTCGAGTCGGGGTCACTGGCGTTGCCTCCGGTTAGCGATGCAGTCGGCGGCAGCGCGATGGCTGATCTCCCGAGCGTGTCATAGATATCTTCGAGACGGGTTATAACCTGCTGCAAGTCTTTGAAGGTCTGGTGTGCGCCGTCAACGTCCACCGTATGCTGTCGCAAAACAGACTCACGCATGGAGAGTGCCGCGTTTCCAACATACTCGAGATATGCTGCTGCTGCTTCCTAGCACACGAGCTCATAGTGTTAGAACAACATTGCTGTCAAGGTACAGAGGCATTTCCGTTGCATTTCCGTTGCATTTCATTGCTTGCTTGTCCTGTGCAGCAGCTTCTTACCCTGAGTTGTCCGTTATGAAACTTCCGATGGCCAGCTACGAGCAGACGTGGGTCTGTCATTAATAATTGGAGTGTAAAAGGATTGCAAATGGTAAAAAGGTGGACTATCGCTAGGAGAAGAAAGAAGCCGAGAACACAGACCCACACTGCATATCTGCGTCATCAGCCGAGGGAAGCAGGGAAGGGGAGTGTGGCTCAGCCTGGTTTGGGAGCTTTTGGAACACGTGAACCACAGAAGTACCTTCAGGCCAGCAGTGTTGTGGTGAAAAAGCTATGTTTTTAAGGGGTTCGCTGAAGAGAGAATATGAAAATACGCTAGGGATAAAATGACATAAAGTGCAACTAAAGGACGCCAGGTCTCGCTCAGGACAGGGGCCCAGGCAGGGAGAACAACACGGAGGAAAATGCTGTCATTCTGAAGAGCAGCCGTAGGGGTAGGGCCACCCTGGCACAGTGGCCGTCGGGGTGGAACGAGCGGCGTTGACGCCGAAAGCTGACATCGGGATGAAGACAGCAACCTGCGACTCGTTGATATGCTCAGTGAACACACCCTGCTTCGGGGCATTGTCACGCTTGAGAAGGTTGCCCGAGTCATCGCCAGAGTCGAGAATGTGAGCAGTGACGGTCGGTGACGCCTGGATGGTAAGCACTGACATCACCCAGAAGGTTGGGGACAAGGCCGTTGCCGTCATCAGTCGTGCTGGATGTTGGCAACAATGTTGATAGGAGCAACAGCGCTGGCAATAACCTCGCCAAGAAGGTTAGGAACAAGGTCGCGCTTGAGAGGAGCGCTGCTCACAGCCTCCTGGTCAGGATCAAAGATGTGCACAGTGACAGTAGGGTGAGCCTGGACGGTAGCGCTGATTGCACCAATAAGGTTCGGGACAAGACCATTGCCATCCTCATCCGGGTTAATGTTGGCGACGACATCTACAGGAGCGAACGGCACTAGCAACAACTTCACCGAGAATGTTTTTCAGCAGGTCGCGCTTGAGCAGGTCACCCGAGTAATCGATCAGCATCAAAGATATGAGCAGTGACAGTCTGGCGACGCCTGGATGGTGGCACTGACGGCGCCAATGAGGTTAGGGACAAGACCATTGCCATCCTCATCCGGATTAATGTTGGCGACAATGTTGAGCGGAGCAACAGCGCTGGCAATGACCTCGCCAAGAATGTTGTTCAGCAGATCGCGCTTGAGAAGGTTGCCCGAATCATCGCCAGAGTCGAGAATGTGAGCAGTGACTGGTCGGCTGACGCCCTGGATGGTAGCACTGACATCACCCAGAAGGTTGGGACAAGACCGTTGCCGTCATCATCGTGTCTGGATGTTGGCAACAATGTTGATAGGAGCAACAGCGCTGGCAATAGACCTCAGCCGAGAAGGTTAGGAACAAGGTCGCGCTTGAGTAGGTCACCCGAGTAGTCGTCAGCATCAAAGATATGGACAGTGACAGTCGGCGACGCCTGGATAGTAGCACTGACGGCGCCAATGAGGTTAGGGACAAGACCATTGCCATCCTCATCCGGGTTAATGTTGGCGACAATGTTGAGATGGAGCAACAGCGCTGGCAATGACCTCGCCAAGAATGTTGTTCAGCAGATCGCGCTTGAGAAGGTTGCCCGAATCATCGCCAGAGTCGAGAATGTGAGCAGTGACTGTTGGCGACGCCCGGATGGTAGCACTGACATCACCAAGGAGGTTAGGAACAAGACCGTTGCCGTCATCGTCGTGCTGGATGTTGGCAACAATGTTGATAGGAGCAACAGCGCTGGCAATGACCTCACCGAGAAGGTTAGGAACAAGGTCACGCTTGAGCAGGTCACCCGAGTAATCATCAGCATCAAAGATATGAGCAGTGACAGTCGGTGACGCCTGGATAGTGGCACTGACGGCGCCAATGAGGTTCGGGACAAGACCGTTGCCATCCTCATCCGGATTAATGTTGGCGACAATGTTGAGAGGAGCAACAGCGCTGGCAATGACCTCGCCAAGAATGTTGTTCAACAGATCGCGCTTGAGAAGGTTGCCCAGTGCATCAGCGCCCTGAGGTTGCGATATGCCGACATGGGCATTGGCAGGCAGGATCACACGAGCAAACACCTTCCCGAGCACCTCGTACAGCAGGGCCTCGCTGCCCAGGTTCTTGGTAGTGGCGTCATCGATCAGGTTGCTCGGAGTGTCGCGCTTGTGCAGCGGCACCGCAGCCTGGCTTGCCTGCGGGATAGAGACGGGCAGGCGAAGAAGCATGTACGTCTGGCCGTTGATGTTGAACACCATGGCACCGTTGCCATTTACCAAATTGATTGATGGCAGACTGCTCGATGCTGCGCTTATTGAACTTACTAGCCTGGTACGACGGAGTGGCAGGGACAGTAGGCGCAGGAGTGGGTACAGGAGTGGGCGCAGGTGGAGCACCTAGGTACAACCTCGGTGACGGCAGGAGGGGCACTAGGCACGACTTCGGTGACAGCAGGAGGAGCACTAGGCACAACTTCAGGTAACGGCAGGAGGGGCACTAGGCACAACTTCAGGTGACTGAAGGCTGAGGGGGCTGCGGGAGGATCACAGTAACGCTGGGCTGGGCCTGGCTGAGGCACAATGACTGTGACACCGGGCTGGGCCGGCTGCGGGACCACGGGTGGCGGGCTAGCCACGTAGGCCGGGCCCGGAACAGCCGGGACATCGGTGATGACCGGCATCGGGGTGGGGAGGGCGGGCTGGGAACCAATGCCGCCGCTGGTAGGCGAGTACATGAAGTCAGCAACAATAATCGAGATTTGGTTCATTGGAACCGACTGGATGATCGTGACAACAGCGGGTGGCTGGGGGGCTGGCTGGATAACGGTTACCACAGCAGGCGGCTGGGGAGCTGGAATGGCCGGAGGACTGCTAGCCACGTAGTTGCCGCCAGCAGCAGCAGTGGCAGCAGGCGAAAGCCAGGGCGAAGATGGTGTTAGTAACCTTCATTTTGGGAGATAATCGGGATGAGAAGGGGGCGGATGTGTGCCTCTAATGTGCCTTTGCGCGCGCGAAATGTAGCCTCAAGCCAGAAAAGACAGGGTGAATGTAAAAAGGAAGGAAGGGATTGCAAAAACGAACCACGACCAAGAGATAGAGGGGAGAAGAGGATGTGGGAGAAAAATGTAGGTGGAAGAAAGAGAAAACGGTGAAATGCGCTATGAGGATGGATACTATATTCTGGAAATGGCAGTGTGCGGCAACCAGAGGCTTTATATTCAATAAGTGTCTAGGGCACTTGGGTCTGGGATGCTTTGCTGCTCCAAACCGGTGAAAGCATGGTGAGATGTTGTTGTTGTTGTTCTCCAGCTGGATGGTGGGGGGAGAAGGCAGCCGTATAGATAAAAGATGCAAACTTACTACCTTCAAATGCCGTTTGGTTGTCTGGAGGCTGGCCAAAAGCAGCAGCATTCTCTTACTCCGCGCAACAGAAAGAATATTAGAGCTGTTTACATATTCCCCTGTGCCAGCCAGCAGCTAGCCGGTATGAGAGGGTGAGGCACCTGGAATAGAGGGTGAGGCTAGAATGTGGAAGTATATGAGCGGGAGCAACGTTGGCGGTCTTTTGCGGGTAGGGAGGGCTTGTCAGCATGCTGAATGTCAGTAATGCAGCGGGTCTGCGTTTCCTTGTCGAGCGCGATAGCATTTGGGACTGGATTACTGCTAAGCAATAGCAGTCAACCATTCCTGGACAGCAAAGCGAATCTCAAGATGCCCCTAGCATATATCCGCAAAAAGAATTACGTAGGTGGCATCTGGTATCTTGCATGTATTGGCAAAAAAGAATCACAGAGCTAGCCAGTCCTTGGTGCAGGAATCGCTGTTAAAGAGCATGGAGCGGTTGGCGCTGCAGAAGCAGTACTGGGCGTTGTAGGTTGGGTCGGTAGGGCAGTTCTGGAATGGGTTGTGGTAGTATCCGATATCGCCAAAATAGTGTACCTGGGACTTGTTCAGGAACATAGCTACGGCCATGGTGTGCACGGGTGCGTCTCCCCAGCGCTCCATGAAGAAGCCGCCCGCGCGATCCAAAAAGTTGAAATATGCCATGTACTTTTCCGAGCGCAAAAACTCGAGGCTCCCGATCTCAAAGTTTGACCAGAAATGGCACATGTTGTAGTCGCCCGAGTCGTTGGTCAGCCAGGACAGGGTGTTGTTGGGCGAGACGTACTCGGGATATGCGGCGCGGAATGCGTTGGTTGTGCTCCACAGGGACCTTACGGTTATCGGAAACTCGCGCAAGGTGATGGTGAACCCGTACAGCTTGTTGTTGTCGGCCATGTATTTGAAGGGGTCGTAGGGAATGGCGCAGCTGAACTCGACGCCAGGCTCGACTCGCCAGTACCAGTCGAACTGGTCCAGCAGCGGGTGGCGGAAGAAGAAGCCTGATTCGAACCTATTCTCCGAGCAAACAAAAACGCCAGGACAAGTGGTTAGCACATGACAGCTTGAACAACCGGGATTTGCGAGTTTGCATGCATGCCAGATACCAATTAGTGCACCAGTGCAATATACACGTGCATAGGATGTTCAGGCAGATGCCGGCAATTTGTTTTCTTTTTGTTTTGAGCGATTTATACCTGCACATTTTGCGGTAGCTTTCGCTGTCTCCATATGGCACCCGGTTCCCCATCTTGCGCATCTCCCAGCGAGCCCTGACCCGATCGATCCACGGCGGGATCGACCAGTGCTCGTAGGGCACCAGGCCAAAGTGGCAGTCGCCTGACGTCGCCCATTCCATGTTCTGCTTGAACTCGTCCGTGAACGGCTCGTCGTTCAGAAACACATATGGGTAGCGATACCTGTGGTTGAACTGATCCTCGAGCTGGCGCACGGTGGCACGCAGGTCGTGGAGCTCAGAGTTGCGTGCCAGGATCACGAATGCGGCGCGCACAGGGTGGTTAATGCGGGCATTCTCGGGCTTCAGGCGCACATCCTCATGCTGTTTTGGATGGGTGAGGGCGCGGGCCTGTTCGATCGGCGATGGGCATGCTATAAAGAGGATCAGCGCACAGAGCCCGACGACCAGGAGAAACCACCGGGACAGCGTGACGGCCTTGACTGACGGCTGCATCTGGCGAGCGAAAAGAGCAAAAAGGACGGAGGAGGAAAATAGCAATTTGGAACACTCTGCTGGATTGTCGCACCGGCAAATTTGCTCCGTAAATGGGATAGGGCCATGGGACGAGAGTGGGTTGTGTGTGCACGTGAGATGCCACACCTCCAATGTGAAACAATGGGGCCAAGGCGACGTACAAAAACAACGCTGCTGGCAGCTGCTGTTTGCTGAGGCGGTAGTACTTTCTCCTCCCTTTCTCTCTCCCTCCCTCTACTTTCCACCTACTAGCACACATCCACCAAAAAAGTTTGTATTTTTTGTCACTCTTGCACCACCAAAAAAAAGCATGTCTTCCAGCGACAAGCCTTCTGACCCCATGCCCATTCCGGCACACCGCCGCAACACGTTCACCGGGTGGCCGGGAACGTTCTTCACTCCCATGGCTACTGCGCGCCCCAACGGGACCATGGGAATGTCGCCCTCCAGCGGCATGCCGTCGGGGAGCACGGCCCACTCATTCTCGGGCCAGCCAGCCATGGCCAGCTCGCCGCCCAGCGATCAGGCCATGTCGGCGTTCTCGGGCATCGGCCTGTTCCGCCGGTTCTCGGCATCGGCAGCCAGCGGTGGCCCCCCTCCCAACCAGGTACGTTGTGGGTTTCTTGAGCCATGTTTACCAGCGCATGTACTTGGTGTTCAGCTAATTAACAAGCACATCCTGTAGCCACTCCAGCATCCGGTTGACCAGGCGCAGCATCTGCACGAGGCGTTTCCGGCCAGCGACTTTGGATTCCGTAAGTTGGGAAAAAAGCCCAGTCTTGTATGGCAGGTTGTATTGCAAATGAGGCCCCTCACTAATCCCGTATGTTGCCTGCGTATTCTAGACAAGGATCAGCATCCAAGGTCCAAGATCCTGAGCGAGGTCCGCGAGCACGACGATCCTCCCAGCCGGCCTGACTCGCGTATGCGCAACCTGATGCTGTCTGGTCCAGTTTATGATCTAGGCCAGGACACGCCATCTTCTTGTTCGCTGCCTTCCATCTTTCCATGTAGTTTTATGATCATGTCCGCATCCAAAAGCCACTCTAAAAACGATCAAGGGCGGACATGTCGTTAGTCACTCGAGCGAGTACTGAAAAAGGTTTTCTCTTTTTTTGTGTGGCAAATAAACAACCCTCACCCCTCATCCCAGGACGTCGTGACCTTAGCATACCCGGTTGAATGTGCCAATCGCCCTGTGCCGAGGCAAAGGGCCCTACCGCTGCAGCGGCATTGGCAAAGAAATGGACCGGGTGGTGTGATAATGTGCGGGACACATAGAAGCAGCGACGTCAGAATGCGTCGCTGTGCACATCGGCTAATTTCCAAAATGCGATTCTGACAAACCCCTACCGGCAGTTCCGAGGGGATGTGGCCTTTCGCAGCTTCCACACAGCAAGAACCCGGACCCTCCAGTGCTACCTGTGCTCCGGGGCAGCAGACACGGCCAGATCAGGCGCAGAACGTGATTTCGCTCTGAATTGCGGCGAAATTACTAATCACTCCAGCTGCGCGGGCATTTTACACGATCCAACTTTCTCCAATGGCACTGAGGCTTTTGTGGGGGGACCGATTCTCAGCATCTTCTCAGTATAAAACTCTGGCTATGTTTCTCGCAAGCCTCCGTCGCCCACTACATCTCGCTTTTTCTTCCTCACTCTCCTCTATCTCTCACCATAGACAGTTTCTCTCACACACAGCAATTCTCAAAATGCACGCCAAAGTTGTAAGTACCCTGCTGAATGACCAAAGGAAGCGGGATTTGCCAGAGATTCGGCAAGAGCAGCAGCAGCAGCAGCAGCAGCAGCAGCAGCAGCAGCAGCAGCAACAGCTAATGCAGACATTGTCTCGTTTTCTAGATCATTGTTGGTTCCGGTCCCGCTGGACACACTGCAGCTATCTACGCAGCGCGGGCAAACCTCGAGCCGGAGATGTTCGAGGGCATGATGGCCGGCGGTGTGGCGCCCGGTGGACAGCTGACGACGACCACGGACGTCGAGAACTTCCCCGGGTTCCCCGCGGGCGTGATGGGCGGCGAGCTGACAGACAAGTTCCGCGAGCAGTCGGAGCGGTTCGGCACCAAGATCCACACGGAGACGATCACGCGCGTGGACCTGTCGTCGCGGCCGTTCAAGCTGTGGCGCGAGTACGCCGACGGCCCCGAGGACAAGCCCGACACGTGCGATGCGCTGATCATTGCCACCGGAGCGACAGCCAAGCGCCTGTTCATTGCCGGCGAGGACACGTACTGGCAGCGGGGCATGTCTGCGTGTGCTGTGTGCGACGGCGCTGCGCCGATCTTCCGCAACAAGCCGCTGGTGGTCGTTGGCGGCGGCGACAGCGCCTGCGAGGAGGCGACGTTCCTGACCAAGTATGCCAGCCATGTCTATCTGGCCTGTGCGTCGCGACGCGCTGGCGTGCCTCTGATATCATGGCCAAGCGGGCCATTGCCAACCCCAAGATCACCGTGCTGTGGAACACCCACGTGACTGAGGCCAAGGGCGACGGCGACCTGCTCAGCCATGTTGTGCTCAAGGACGCCAAGACCAACGAGACGCGCGAGCTCGAGGTCTCGGGTCTGTTCTATGCCATCGGCCATACCCCCAACACTGCCTTCCTCAGCGGCCAGCTCGAGACCGACGAGTCCGGCTACCTGCTGGTCCAGCCCGGCACCTCGCTGACCAACATCAAGGGTGTCTTTGCTGCCGGCGACGTCCAGGACAAGCGCTACCGCCAGGCCATCACTGGCTGCTGGCTCCGGCTGCATGGCTGCTCTCGACGCCGAGAAGTACCTCGAGGAGCTCGAGGCCGAGGAGCGCGAGAAGAAGGAGAAGGACAAGCAGCAAGCTGTAAGCGTCCAGCCGACTTTCTGCGGGCTTTTTTTTTCTAATACATGTCTTCATTTAATCTCGGGAGGAACAGGCCTCCTGGCCTTGGGGGAAAGTAATAAGCGGGGTGTGGCGATCCGCCGCCTATTGGTAGTGGCGGAAACTGCGAGCTCTAGTCGGCGGGGGCTACTAGCAGACGCGAGGCAGGGCTCTGCGCTTGCACGCGCTGGCTGTCTCTTCACTGGGCAGTCCTGGCAGCTGCAGTGTGACGACGGCCGAGAGCAGAGTATGCTACAGCCAGCGCCCAATTCTGCGCTTTCTCCAGGCGCACAGATGCCCTGGCTGCCCCGATGGGCGACAGCTCCGTCGAATCACAGGGCGGTGGGCAGAGGCGCTCCGTGACTGTTTTTCAAATGCACATGAATGCCTTCTGGCCTGCTCAGCAAGCAGGCGCCCTCAAAGTCACTCGGAGCAAATCCAAACTGCCAGCCCCAAAGCTGGCCCGCGCCGCACGCCGCCTATTGGGCTCGTCCCAACAATTTTTCCTCGCCCTGGGTTTGTTATCGCTCCATGCAGAGCTGATATCGCGTCCGCCGTATAAATTGCAAACGGACGCCCGACGGCCGCTCCCCGAGTTTCCTCTTCACCGTTCTTCTTGCATCTTCTTCTCCTCCCCTCCTTTTTACTTTTTTCTCTTAACTCCTTAAGGAAAAAAAACACACAGAATGTCCGAGTCCAAGAACAACGCGCTATGTCCTTCGTCGCGGATCTGGCCGCTGGTGGTATCTCCGCCGGTGTGTCGAAGACCATCGTCGCCCCCATCGAGCGCGTCAAGCTGCTGCTCCAGGTCCAGGCCTCGTCGGACCAGATTGCTGCTGACAAGCGCTACAAGGGTATCATGGATGCCTTCCGCCGTATCCCCGCCGAGCAGGGTGTCGGTTCGTTCTGGCGCGGTAACCTGTCGAACGTCATCCGTTACTTCCCGACCCAGGCTCTGAACTTTGCCTTCAAGGACAAGTACAAGGCCATGTTCCCCAAGTACAGCCCCAAGACCGACTTCTGGAAGTTCTTCGGTGCCAACATGGCGTCGGGCGGTATGGCTGGAGCCACCTCGCTGCTGTTCGTGTACCCTCTTGATTTCGCGCGTACCCGCATGGCTGTCGACATCGGCACTGGCGCCAACCGTCAGTTCACCGGTCTCGGTAACTGCATCTCGACCATCTACAAGAAGGACGGCATGGGCGGTCTGTACCAGGGCTTCGGCATGTCGGTCGCCGGTATCATTGTCTACCGCGCTGCGTACTTTGGTGGTTACGATACTCTCAAGCAGGTTGTGTTCGGCAACAACAAGAACCCGAACTTCTTCGCTTCGTGGCTGGTTGCCCAGACCGTCACTGTCGTTGCCGGTCTCATCTCGTACCCTCTGGATACCGTCCGTCGTCGTCTCATGATGCAGTCGGGCCGTGCCGAGAAGCTGTACTCGGGTCCCTTCGACTGCCTGCGCAAGCTGTACCAGGAGGCTGGTATGAAGGTGTTCTTCCACGGTGGTCTGTCCAACATCATCCGCGGTACGGTGGTGCTCTGGTCCTGGTCTTCTACGACCAGCTCCAGAAGTGGATGGGCATCAAGAACTAAATCGCCTAATCTTGTCACTTTTATGCTGTTCTGCAATATATCCCAACTCCAAAAACGCCCTAGGTAAAATTTTTGCTGCTCCACGCATCACCGTAAGCACGCCATTGTGGCATGCACGAACTGTCTTTGTGACTGCGATTGGGGATCAGATCAACGGCGGCTGATAATCAGAGACACACGCCACCTGCTGGCATCACCCATGTGCCCAGTGT